CGACTAGGATAGGTATTTTTATGTCAATTTAGCGTGTCAACAGTATTATCATAGTATAATTGTGTTATATTATGGTATTATGCAGTTGTTCAGTACCTTTAAAATGTAGGTACAGAAAAAGTTTAATAGTCCAGTAAAAGTAGACATTGACCCAGAAATTTGAAAAGCAAGCTGAAAATTGTCATACTTGGTGAGGATGGTGCTAGAACTAAATCCTGAAAAGTCCCAAAGGATCCCGGTTGGGCAACGGACGCCATCTTGAAAAAACTACCCCTAAATTTGATTTTCTGATTTTTGAACATAACAAATGAACGGATGGTCCAAATTTTGTCGTCAAGGTGTCAAAATGGTGGTTTTGATGTTTGTTTTGAGTGAAATAATTATTTCGTATAATACGATGCCCTTGAAAATGTGACCTTTTTAAAAAACCACCCCCATCATGGATTTCTCTCTTTTCCGGCTATTGTTGTTAAATAAAGCTTCGGATAATTAGTATTGATGTTTCTAATCGTTCTTCTTGACGTTCTCTATCTGAAACTGGAAATTTTGCCTAACAACCGCAACTGACATCCATCTAAACGTATGCATTGATATTTGTCAAACTACTGTCAGATCAAACAAATCAAGTGATCGACTTTTGCTTTTATTTTAATGTGTACCTACAACATTCTACTCAAAATGGTATTTTAATAGAAATAGAGCAGTATGAAATAAAATGTTTTACATTATTTGTATGTCAAATCAGTTTACGTTACTCGTTTCGAAATTCCTGCCTCAGCTACGCTTCGGCAGTACTCGTTAACGTAAACCTTGATTTACCATACTCATATGTAAATAACTATTAAATGCATTTTACAATTAATGTAAATAAGCGGAATCCTTTCAACCATTCGCACATAACTAAAAAAACGGCGTGAAAATAACACCGGTCTACAGCATTTTTGCGCATGGGATAGATATACCTTAGTTGTATTGCTTGTATAGCCACAAATAAGAATTAGAACAAAAAAAGGTTATGTATTTGTTTTTGTGCGAAAAAAAGGCAAAAAACCAAAAAATAAAAATACCTATAAAATCTTACTTACATAGGCATGATTTATTATAAGGTAACGTTCCTACATTTAAAATGTGTTTGTTTTAGAGTCTAAATGTTTAAAAATGGAACAGTTTTGCTGTTTTTGTCATGTTCAACTGAAGTTTTTCTCATCAACCCCCCAAATATGATCTCTCATCATGCTTCCAGGTTACTGGCCTTGGTAACGTGCCTAAATTCTTTTATGTCTTGATGAAAGGGTTGTCCTAGTTATTCCGAATAAGCTCCCATATTATCCTTAAATTAATCTAAATGAGAAGTAACCTGTGCATCTTTAGAGACATTCTATACCCGATGATACAAAACCAAAACCTGTCAGCTCGTCATAATTTTCAGCTCTATGGTTTCCCAGGAAACACTGAACGGGAAACCATGGACTATTGCCTTAAAACTGTTCCAGGATTTTTTTTCCTCTTTGCTAAATAACCGCGGGAAAATATCACCATCCATTTTTCTTTTTATTTGAGGGGAAATAAAGATTCCAGCTTTAATTTTCGCCCCTGAAAGTTTTCAATCAAATCGCTATAACTTTTGTAAAAGTAAATATTTTCGCTGTCTAATCGCACTTTTTATTTATTTTTGCTTATTATAGCCAGAATATATTATGTAAATCCCATGCGCAAAAAAAATTTCTTTAAATTTGGGTGTTTCGTTACTACGAAACCCTAGCTTCCAGATTTATTTATTTCTTTTAGGAATTGGAAACAGAAGGTGATTTAACTTCTAGCGCCCCTTTAGCTGCCGATTTCCGTATTACATAAATGAACACTTTCTAAGATAACCGTTCCTTTTGCTATTTAGGTAGTAAAGTTACACATGATAATCGTGGCAAGGAAGATATAAAATACAGGATAGCTCAGGCTAAAAAAGCATTGGAATAAAAGTGGGACCTGCTAAGATCCGAGATAAATATAGGAATTAGGAAAAGATTGCTAAAAACGTACAAATGGAGTGTAGGTCATACAGGTGCGAAACCTGGACGATAGGCAGGCAAAAGTAGGATAGAATGAGGGTTAGCTAGATGGACAGGGTAACAAACGAAGCAGTCTTGGAGCTAGTACAGGAAATAGGGAAATGTTGAAAACCGTACAGAGAAGACGAGATACAATGATAGCGAACGTGGTAAGACACGGAGGAATAGCACTACTAGCTATAGAAGGTAGGGGAGAGGGCAAGAGAGGGGTAGGACCACAGAGACTTAAACACATAGACCAAATAGTTAGGGACGTAGGCAAGGTTAGTTATGTAGAACTGAAAAGATTACCGCAGGATAGGAAAAGGTGGAGGACTTGGCCCAACCAATCCTAGGATTGCGCAACCACAACAACAACAAATGCCGAAAACGTGAAAAATCCAGGTTGGGGGTGATTTTCCTAAAAAGTTCGAATTTCCAAGGGCTTCTTTATGTGCGGAATTATGTTTTTACTCCAAATACACATTAAAACAAACATTTTGACACCTTAGCAACGAGAATCAGGCCATTGGTTCATTAGTTTTGCTTAAAACTCGAGAAATCGAGTTTAGGGGTAGTTTTTCCAAGATGGCGTCTATTCCCCAACCGGGATCTTTTGGGACTTTTCGGAAATTGGTTCTGGCACTATCCTGAACATACCTATAGAGTTAGACGATAATATTGAGTAAGGGGATGAAGATACAGACACAGACAATGAGTCTGACGACAGTGTATGTGATCCTGATTACAACCGTACAAAAGGCGATCAGGAAGCTGTAGATGCAGAGTTGGTAAAAGTTTTGGGAGATCAAAATGCCGATACCTTCTGCCACCTTTTAAAAAGCGATGACTAGTACCTCCTGAGGATACAGGTCCAATTTGTTCAGGTTTGCAGCCAGTGGTAAATTATACCATAGATGTAAATATTATACTAATTTAAATTTGTGATTATACTCCCATATTTTTTATATATTACTGCTGTATATTTAAATTAATGTTTGCACTTACCGTTTTTTGATGAAATTCCTTCGTCACGAAATGGATATAGGAGTGGAATAAGGTAAACACAGAGTAAATGCAAATCTTCAATAATTCTTTTGAATTTTCAGTTCGTTATTCACGCTTTTAACAATCACACTGAACCAACTTTAATTGTTATTATTTAACAACAAACTAGACGCGTAAGAGATTTTAAAGATTGTATG